TGCGGCTCATTATTATCTACAGACCGCCGTACTCAGAAGAACATCGTGTCCCCACAAGTGTATTTCTCTCTGAGTTCCCTGAATGTCTGGAGGCTATGTTGCTATGCAAGGAGCAATTGCTTATAACAGGTGATTTTAACATCCACGTTGATGATCCTCAAGTTTCTGGTGCAAGGAAATTCTTGGAGCTGCAGTTGGAGGGTCTTGGGCTGGAACAGCATGCTGATCAACCCACTCACCATCATGGCCACACGCTGGACCTTATTATAATATGTATGTCTGAGAGCCTGGTCGTTAGCACGCCTGTTATGGATCAGTCCATATCTGATCATGCAGCTGTGTTGTGCTGGCTTGCGCCACCTAGATCTGGTCTCTCGTGTGCTCTAAGCAATAGAAGAACCAGTCACTGCTGATAAATTAGAGGCAAACGGAAAGGCGTATAACATCACAATTTCAGTTTTGCTTGAAAAGCATGCTCCACTTAGGACCCGTACTATGGTCAGTAGGGCTGTAGTCTCCTGGTATAGTGATGACATTGATAATGCCAAGCGCTCGCGTAAGGAAGGATGAAAGGAAGTGGAGAAAAACACGGTCGCCCGCAGATTTTGCTGACTACAAGAAGAACAGAAATTATACTACTATCTCATGAATAAAGAAAGGCAAGACTTCTACTCTACTTTATAGAGGGTTACAGCACTGATGAGAGAAAGCTCTTCGGCGCTGCCAAAAAGCTCTTTGGTACTCAGGATGTGCTGCGCTTTTCTAATCGATTATCTTGACAGGATTGTGTTGGCAAATGACATTAACATTTTTTTTGTTCGCAAGAGTAGAACACATTCGTAGAGACATTGACTCTTCCGACCGCAAGCTAGTGCCACCAGACATGCTACAGATATCACATATCAAACACTGAGCTATTTTGACGCCCTAATATATTATTATTAATACTGCCAAGACCTCATGCGCAGTGGATCCATTGCCGACTAATCTGGTCTGTGAATCATTAGATGTTTTACTGCCGGTGATCAGGAATATGGTAAATGCATCTCTGTCCACTGCACATTTCCCTGGCCAATGGAAGAAGGCGATTGTGAACCTTTTACTGAAAAGGGCGCCAAGGATACTACTTACAAGAACCTGCGTCCAGTTAGTAATCTACAATTCGTCTCCAAGATTACTGAAAGAGCAGTATATGATCAGGTGCCCCATGCTATACTGCAGCCAATGAAGTGTTACCTGTATTGCAGTCTGCATATAGGAAATCACACAGTACGGAGATGGTGCTGCTGAAGATAGTGAATGACATCTTACTTGACATAAATCACCGCCTAGAGACGTCGTTTGGTGTCACTGGAGATGCACTCAAATGGTTTGCCTCTTACTTGTCAGATTGCTCTCAGTGTGTTGTGGTTGATGGGGAAATGTCAAACAGATCTTATCTATYATTTGGAGTTCCYCAGAGGTCATGTGTAGGACCGTTATTCTTTTCTGTGTGTGCGAGTAAGCTGTTTGAAGTCATCAAGACCTATCTTCCAAATATTCACGCATACGCAGATACTCAACTCTACTTATCATTCAAGCCAGACAGTTCCGTGGGTGAGACCGAGGCAAGATCTGCTATGGAACGGTGTATTAGGGCTGTCAAGGCGTGGATGGTTTAAAGTCTGAGTCTGAGTCTGAGTTCATGCTCATTGGAACTTGACAGCAACTTAGTAAAGTTAGAGCTGATAGCCTCTTAATTGGTGACACTCCTATACTATCAGTTACTGAAGCTAGGAATCTAGGTGTCTGGTTTGATTCTAATCTCCAATTTCAAAATCATATAAACAAGACGTGTCAGTTAGCTTTCTATTCACTATATAATATTACGAGTATTAGGAAATACTTGACTTTCGAAGCTGCAAAGACATTAGTGCAGGCTTTAGTTATAAGTCGCATTGATTATTACAACGCTATATCATATGGTCTGCCAGCTATTCATATTCATAAATTGCAACGCGTTCAAAATGCAGTCGCTAAGTTACAGACAAAAACACCGCGATATGCTCACATCACTCCTGCCATGATAGAACTTCACTGGCTACCTGTTAAATTTAGTATTATATTTAAGATAAATCTAATAACTAGTGTAGCACCAGTCTATCTTATCTTTCAAAGAACATTCCAGATATGATTTAGGATCTAATAGTAATGACATTAAAATCTGCCAAAACCACTGGAGACAGAGCCTTTTCAGTGGCTGCCCCAGTTTTATGGAACGCTTTGCCATCACGAAGCCTTAGGGCTGAGGACAAGATTACTAGATTTAAAAAAGAATTGAAAATATATCTTTTTAAGCAAGCTTATTTTTAATTTTTATTTAAATTTTGCCGGAGATCTGAGTAACTGTGAGTTTTATTAAATTTAGTTCATTTAGTGACATTTATTTTGATTTTCTATCTGTAAATATAATAAATAGGACTACATGATTTTAGATATAGTTTTAGTCTAGTTTGATTCTTAATGATTGTAAAGATTGTAAAGCGCATAAGATCATATATTTCAATGAATATTGCGCTATATAATTAATAAAATTATTATTATTATTATTATTATTATTATCCTTGCAAAAAGATTTACATACACCGGTGAAACCACTTGGGATACTATATGATTCTCCTCTTCTCAGAGCCTGCGTTTCCAGGCCAGAACTAATACATAACCTCTGGCTACAAGATTGCTGTCGGTAGGTCGCAGAATTATGGGAAGCGCTGCAAGCGAAAATTAAGCTTCTRAGGCCTTTGTCAACACTTTCAAATTTAAATGTTTTTAACCGAATTCTTTTGATAAATGATAATTACTTCAAATATGTGCCAAGTACTCGTACTTACAGTACACTTTCCCACTTTTACTCAATAGTTCTTTTCCGCCAGTCTTTGATGGTCATTGGCATCACCTCTGTTTAACATGGACCAATGTAGATGGTAAGTACTCCATGTACATCGATGGAATATCAAAAGGTCAAGGTAACTTTAAAACAGGCCACGTCATTCCGGAGGGAGCAGTTGTTCTTGGACAAGAACAGGATTCTTTCAAGGGAGGTTTTTCCAGTAGCCAAGCCCTTCAAGGAAACCTAACGAGTGTCAACATGTGGGACAAGGTGCTGACAGCAGAAGAGGTATCATCCCTTGCAAACAAATGTTATACAGCTGAGGGTAATGTCATCAAGTGGACGGATTTTCACGAAAAGATAACTGGGAACTTGAAGCTGAACTGTGCTCGTTTCTGTGACAATTAACCGTAAAGCAGTGTAATTTTTGGCCTTACGCAAAACACTAACCCCAGCCTGATTACATTTATYATCTTTGCTTTATTTATAAAGAAAGCTAGAATTATTTAAGACTCCAAAACCCTRAATAATGCACTTATACTAGTATTCAAGGTTATATAATGATCCTGTCCAAAGTTGTCAAGTGGACGATAAACTATATAATGATAGTAATGATTATCATGATCATGATYATTATCATCATCTTGACCATCATCATTATATTATTTCTTTTGTTTATGCGGGCTGATTATTTTGGCAGCTCAGTTATTTAAAGATTTGCCAATGCACTATTGTATGCATAAACAGGCCGAAAGTATTCATTATTCAGTCTGGAGGAGAAAGTTCCGAGATGTCAGTGAAAGAAACTAACAAACCGAGTAAAAAATCATGAGCTTCGAAAAGAAATGTACACCGGTGGCGACAGCCCTGGCATTGCACAGGAGATTCTGCATGTGTTATATGTCTATCGTACCAATTAGTAGACTATCCTCTTTCTTTCTTTCTTTAATAAAAAAAGATAAATAGATTGCGTACCATAGAGAGTGCAAACAATTAATCCGTGAAACACTAATTACTAAATAGTACAA